TGCTTCCTATTAAATGACTATGGCTGTAAACCACTTTTTAATCACTCTTCAGCCGGTCCAGCTGCCCTTGTGAAAAATAAAGACTTTTTTTGACCCTGTCTTGTCTATGTTTGTGAATGTTCACATAGTTGCCATCCTGGCACCATATAACTCAAAACACCATTTCCCCAGTGATGTATTGTGAACGGAGACCATTCTCAACGCTGTACTATATCAGGAGAATGACAGGTTCTTGTGGTGTACATCAGCAGGAAGATGACACTCAGCTTTTGTGGTTTAAGGGCTCCCAGATATATCACGGGAAGTACTGTCTTATCTCAGGAGCCTGAGGGCAGGCATGAGGTGTTTTTGTCAAAATAAAACAGAAAACATGGGTGGATTTTGCATCTGACTGTCCCAGGATGACAACTATGGACAGGGGACCATAGGAACATCTTCTTATGGTAGGTAGGGATTGTGTTTCCTCTTCACTTCATTTCAGCCCCAAAGCGTGTTCCTAAAGCTATCCTTGCAGGATTTAACCTTTTGCTTAATTTTTACCATATGCATGAATCCCATGGACTTTTAGTGGATTTGCATGTGTTTAATTTTAAGCATGTTTGTTGCCACAATGCTTAAGGATGGTAATCTGGATTTTATAACGCTGAGCTTAGTTCTGTACACTCAGAAGAAAATGAAATAGGGAAATAATTCAGTAAAGAGCAGCAAAGAGGAAAGACTGATTTGTGAAGAAAGGACAAGTGGTCACTACCTGATATTTTTCATATCCCACTGATATCAGAGGAGCTAACTGCAGCACACATTAAACATGACAGAGGTGTAGAGTTGTAGAAGCTCCATCAGTCCCTTAAGAGTAAGTGAAAGCACAGCTTGTGACAAAGTGCAAAGGAGGAGCTGCAAGATGACATGCACCTTTGTAGGGTCCTGAAGTGGATGTGAGACAGAGATGACCCCAGTGAGATCTCCTGGGTTTACACACAAAAAAATGTAGATTTCTAAGAGGACCTGATGAAGGCATTGTAGGTTTACCCCGTATCCTTAAAGGCAGATTTCCTGTTTTAGAGCATCATGATGAGTGGAGTAGGTATGGCAGAGTTATAATTTTCCCAAGCTGGAACAGGAGTCCTGGCCAGAGCTGGAAGTCCTCATTCCTAATTTCATCATTCAACTACTAGGTCAGGCTTTCTTCCATAGATTTAAAGCCTGACACAGGCTCCCATGCTGTGCTACATACAATACGATCAGTACATTCAACAGGTTGCTATAAATTAAGTACCAATAATAAATTCACAGGCAACACTATCTTTTTTCAGCAAAGTATACTTCCTTAAAATACACCAGCAGCATCAAATGTAACTAGATTTAATTTCATGCTGAAGAGTCTGTGAATATTCATTTTAAAATAGTCACCAAGAGCCTAATTTTAATTTGTGTGATGTTTCTGCTAATACCAATGCCTACTTAAAATATCCGTTAAAAAGCCTTAAGAATATTAACAGGGAATTCTTACAGAAATGCACTAGAGTTTTATGTTTTGAATTACCATTACAGGCTTTTTGGTTTAACTCACGTTAAACAGATTTCATTATTAACAAGAATGTGTGCAAATTAAAACAAGCCCATTAGAATCTAAAATTCCATGCTAAAAAGATTAGGGACATTTGAGTTATTCTTTTCTGAAGGAATAAATGTAATAAAGAGTGATAGGGAGTAAAAACCAATATTACAAATGCACACAAAATCAACAGTGGTTAGACAATGGTGAGGAGCTGTTGATGTTATTTCAGAATAACCTGATCTACACAAGGAATCATCTTGCTCACAATTTTGTTCCCTACAACACTGACACTGCATTTATGAAGCCTTTGTCACAGACTTGCAACTGCCTGTGGGGTGCTACCACTTCTGGGATGTCCCCGCAGGCACCAGCTCCGGATGTCCCCACAGGCACCAGTTCTGTTTAGCAGGCCTGGAGGCCTCAGAAACACTGGCCAAAGGCCATGGTGGGTCTCACTTCATCCTCCCCTCTGCTCTGTACTTGCCTGAAACCTGGCTGTTGAGGATGGAAGTGAAGGTGTAGATGTGAGCCTTTACCATGATCCAGCACAAGGCTGGCTCTGTGACAGGATATGTACAGGGCTTGTCTTGGTGCTCACGTCTGGGTTTCACCCTGCACGACAGAAATCAGACTGCTCAGCAGCTTGTCAGAGCCAGGCTCTCTGCGTGCACCTCACAGCCTCGGGCTGGGCCTCTGGAAGGACATCTTTGCTCCAGCACTGAAGTACAGACAGGGTGAAGTGCACGCTAAGGTTTAAGGGGCAGTTAAGTGACTTCACAGAGAAGTGAGGCCCTAGAAAATGTACTTTTACTTCATCTGCCTTCAGAGGCTTTGGCTCCCAGCTCCTCTATTGATCTCCTCTTCTAAATAACCCTCAGTTCAATACAGTCATCAATGAAAAGTCTGCTGCTCTAATAAATCACATGAATATTTACACTGCCTTGTGTAAAATACATCTTTTGACATATTGGGTGCTTTATGTCCCTGTTCCTTGTCTCGTTATTTCTGTCTTTCTCTTTACCTATTACTGGGGTGGCAGGGGGGACACTGACCCTTTCCTCGGCTCCAGTGAGCTGCAGTGAATTATCTGTGTTAAAACTCTCTTCTGTCAAGCTGCCAAATCTTTTGCATTAATCCTGAAAATTACAATTAATGAGTGCTAAGAGGATCTTTCCACCTTTGTGTATGGCTCTATTCAGTTGTAATGATCCCTGCTTCTCTGCCAGCATCTGGAAGCCTCTTGTGGTCATGGCTTTTGGCTCTCAGGCAGGGCAATATACTTGCAGGAGGCTGTTTGGCTGGTGGCAGCAGGGCTTCTGCCTTTTCTTGATTGATATCCTGTCCTCAAAGATGGTCTTCACTGATGACTGGGGAGATTTATGTTAATGGGAGCCCATGACCACCAGAGCGTGGAATGTTCCCCCTGTGCAAAACATCACATCGTCATTTCAGGCATTTTGAAGTCATTATTGCTGTGATCTGACACGAGGTGAAGCACAGGGCTGGGAATCGGGTTGTCACAGGTCTACAGCCCCACTTTGACAAGGACTTGAAATAGCCTTGGGCTCTGGGATTCAATTTCCCAAACTTTTAATGTGTCTACCAAGATTCAGTTCCGTGGGGACTACCAACTAAGTAAAAATACAGTATTTTTAGTTATTAAGAACCAGAATTCAGAATCTCATTGACATGAAAATAAATCACCTTTAAGTATAAACTAGAGATCCCTGTATCAGGCATGAATCAGTTCATCCCCTGCCTGTGCATACTGAGCCACTTCCAATTTCTAAGATTTGGAAGGGATATGTTAATTTTTCTTTAAGCACAGACTGGTTGCCATTTTCTCATGACAATCCTGCTCCCACTTTGAGCTGCTGAGCGGCTCCAGGAAGGGTTTCTGTTGTTGTTGTTGTTGCTGCTGTTTTGTTTTAGTTTTCTTTTGTTTTCTCTACATGAGCAGCAAGAAGCTTGATGGGCGTGCAACCTACAGTAAGCAGTAACTAAGTTATGTTACCATGGGCAGTCACTGACTCTGTTTAATTCAGCACTCAGACAGAAGCTAAAGCATCTCCTCCAACTCAATCGGTTGCTAAGTCTTGTGCTCCTACTTTCACAAACCTCTTCATTGACATTTCCTCTTCAGGACTATTTATCTGACACACACAATCCTTTTTTATTTTTTTTCCTCTGCGTTCACTTGACTCTAGTCTGAGTTTATACAAGCCACTTCACCATGAATAGAGCATTTGTGCATTTCCAGTTTTTCTGTCCCAGAAATAACCCTGCAGAAATCACTAGAATTACAGTAAGGGAAAAAAGCAAGGGATGTCACTAGAGGAACAAGCCTTCTTTCTTTATTTCCTTAGAGAGGAAATGTTAGATAACTGCTTCCCTGAATTAATAATTTCCACTCTCTTCAGTGGAGTTATTTCCCATTTGAACCAGTAATGAATTTAACCTGCAATTCCTATGTTTAATCTATAAATTCAGCTAGTAGTAGCTCCATGAAGTAAAGCACTTTCTCACTTTTAAATGTCAGAGGATGCAAACAGAATGAGAAGGTTAGAGTAGCCCAAGTATGTACTACCCTGAGCAGACACCTCTCTGGAATTACCCCTATCTGCACAGGCAGGTACCTACAGATGGACAGGGATCTGTGTGGGACAGGGTTAACAGGATTAGCCAGGCAATCGGCAATGCAGAGTTCGTCAGGAGTGCATGTCCTCATACTATGCATTCGCACAATTTCAAGCACTTAATGGACTTCTCATCTCAGCTGGGGACTAGAGCTGCTGCTGTCACATAAAACTGTAACGATTTCAAGGCAAAGGGAGACATTTCACAGCAGTTATTGCTGACATTAGAAATGTCAGGTATGTCCATACACCACACGCAGTGCTGCGCACAGCCCCCTGACAGCTCTGCTATCAAAAGCCCTGCAGCAGTGCTGGCCCAGTGCTCTGCCCGAGTACAACAGTGCTCAGCTGTGCCTGCACCACCACACCACTGCCCAGAACAGCTTCGATTTAGATTGGCCATGTCCTGCTGTGTCTTGCCTGATGCCAGACCCACCTGGCCCTATTTTATCCCAAATCTTGTACAGGTAAGGTAGGCTTTGGTAAGAAGATGTCCATTGTCAGGCCAGTGAACCTTCCTGTTTGAACCATGAGTGATGCCTTCAGAGCTCCCAGTTTACCTGAAGCAGAGGTTTTTGTTGGCATTTGGCATCAGTGAGATCCCATTAGTAACGTCATCTGTTGGGATCACCAATGCATGCTAGAAGAGCTGAATGGTTATAGAGAAGTGTGGGAATAGCAGTACTCTAAGGGATTTGCTTTCCAAAGACTTAATACCAGGTCTGCATGGGAAATGGGTGGGGTGGTGTACAAACAAACCATGTGGGTTTGGGGAAGAGGCAGGAAAGAGAGCAGCAGTATCTTACCTGTACAAAGGTAGCGGGGCTCGTCTCATAGAAATCCTGCCACTGTAAGATGTGTTTTGTGCAACTTCATTTCAGTGACACTGCCTTTCTTGGGTGGAGATCTCAGGTGTGCAGTGGCTTTGTTGAGCACTGTAGGCCAGATGAGAAGGAGAGGCAGAAAACACAACATCCATTTGAAGCTGTTGCACCCTTGGAAGAGGTTCAGGATTTGGCCAGCAGCTTGTGAATGCAAGAAGTGGTACAGCTATGGGATACAGTGAGACCACAAGGTGGGTGACGGGTTTAACACATTCCTTGATGCAAGAGATACCCTCAACCCTCATCACTGTTGCCTAGTATCAGGAGGATAACAGTGCTGTCTGTAAGATCACCCCCTAGCTCCTGGCACTAACTGCTTGGGTTGGTGATAATTCTTCCTCTGACATGGCAAAATTGACTTCTTCCTTTGAACACACTGGAAAGGTACTTGTGGATGGAGATGATGCTGGGATAGTGGTGCTAATAAAATCAGCAGAGAAGCAGCATTTAGCAGCTAGGAAGGCAAAGAAGCATTTTTTTCAGGAACACACAGGCTCCTGCTTTGATGTTGCATTCAAGCCAAAGCAAGGGCATGTTTTAAATTCCCAATAATTCAAGTTTCTTTTTAAGTTCCCAAGCCTGGCTGAGCTCTTAAAGACAAGAGAAGATCTTGCTCCTGGGGTTGGCTTTCCCAGGCAATCACAGCTCTGCTCAGAATACTATTTAAATACCAATTATTGTAATTCTCGGCAGAAATATTACAGGCATTCAGATTTTTTTTTCTTAACAGCCAAAGGGAGACATTTCCAGCATCTATCAAACCTCTTTTATTTTAATCCACATTAAAATTTCTTTCCAGAAGGACTGGGCAATAGAGCATAATTTATCATTACAGTTCAAAGATTTGTCATGGCAGAGCCTGCTGCCTCATGCCAAGCCAACCTGTCTGGTGTAACCTTTTGGGGACAAAGAGGGCTGGCTGGAGAGCAAAGGGTATTGAGGCTAACAAGTCACAGAGATTAGATAGGTGGGAAGCAGCAGAAGCAGTACCTCATGCTTCCTTGCAGGGAGCAAATCCCCCCTCTCCTGCACTGTGGAGAACATTCCCAAATCTTTCTCTGATTTTGTCCTGGAAGCCAGCAGGCAGGGCACAGCTTGAGACACAGCTGGCAGCCAGCACGAAGCTGCACCAGTAAAAAAATCCTGCGTGACAGCAGAGCACTGCTCGCTGATGGTCACCCTTCCTGCAGGCCTTGGCAGCCCTCCTGCTCACCCTGACCGAGAGGAGAACAGAATTAGTTGGTACCTTTGCTATTCAGACGTGGGATCTCAACAGACATCTTCAGGAGGGTGATTAGGTCTCCTGCTGCCAAGAGCCATCATGCTGCACGACAGGACTGCTCCAAAGCTGTCATTTTTATTTCCTTTAACGGTTGCTGTCAAATCAGGGTAATTGCAATGAATGTCCTGGCATGAACATCAAGTCAGGGGTTCTGCAACAAAAGTTTTAGTTCCCTTATTAATGGCTGGTGCTAGGAAAAAGAGAAAGTAGATGCTAGAGAAGAGCTGCCATGTTATAGATACCCACTTGTGGCTCGCTGCTCAGTCCAGGTGACGCCTTGCTAATGGGGCAGGACAGAACAGCTGGGGGGCAGTAAAGGGGTCTCCTTGGTTCCTTGTACACAGGCCCGAGGAGCTGCTGGCTTCCCACCCCAGCACGACCCAGGTGTCCTAAGAAAACAGGGTTTGTGACATTGAGCCTTGCACCTAGCCTGCTTGCACTGCCTCTTCTCCCAAAGAGTTTGAGCCAGGCACCTGATTTCAACCATAGCTGGCAGGGAGGCAGGGCTTAAATATAAAGCTCCTGCAGGTTTGGGGGGAGCAGGGTGATGGTGAGACCCCTACGTTTCAGCCCTGCAAGGGAAAGCAGCAGTCTGAGGGACCCGGTGGGGATGCCCAGTGTGTCAGTGGGACAGGGAGCGTGTAGAGCTGGGAGTGGGGCTGAGCATGGGAAGCACTGGTCTTAGAAGGAGGGAAAGGGCTTCCAGGCACTTTACTATCATCCTGGGTAATCACAGATATATTGGGGAGAGCAGGGGACACAAATTACTTGCTAATGCAACAACTTGCTATACTAACAGTGGTCAAAAATTGGTAAACGATAGTCCTGCTCCTGTGGGGCCTGAAACCCCATGGGCAACCCCCCCCAGTGCCAGGGAGCTGGTGCCCACACCCCCAGCGCATCCCAAGACAGCAGAATCTATAGCTCAAGTTAAGCTAAAAGCTGTCTCCTTTCCTTCTTCTTCTTTCTTCAGCTGCACCCATTGTAAACCGAGCACAGCTGTGGTTCTGGCCCTCAGACTGTATAGGAGCTATAGCAAAGTGTTTAATGTATTCTTAGCTTTTAAAATACTATTCATCAGCTGCAATCAAAGGAGAGAGCCAGCATCATGTTGCCAGCCAAATTAATCACAGCTCCCCCATTCCCCCCTTCACACACAGTCACGTTGTGTGCAGCAGTGGTGGTCTCGAGACCACAGTTTAGCAGACACTGGAAAAGGCCAAGGTGGTAAATGTAAATCCTGGCTGCTCTTAATCATGTTCGTAATGACCATATCATCAATCATAGGCCTTCTCAAGTGCTCAGCAACCACAGCCCAAGGGTATATTTTTCAAAGAATCCAATTCAGTGAGGTCTCTCAAAAAGCTGGGTCACCATTATTCCCACTCACGCAGGAGGAGGATTGCTTTTGACTGTCTGGCACTGACGGTGCAAGTAAACTCAGCATCTCCCCCAAAAGTCTGCATGCAAAGGGTAAAGTCAGTCAAATTTATGCAACGCAAGATTTCAATGGGCTTTAGAAGAAAACAAGCTGAAGAAAAACAAAAGATGCCAATTGAACAAATTAGGAAAAACTGCATTTCTGTCATTTTACTGATCTCAGAATTTCTCACTGGAGACATGGTCAAAACACTTTAAAAAATCATGCTTTCAGACTTCCTAAAAATGTTGGAATGTTGAGAAATAATGAGTATTTTAGTGGTTACAGATTTCTCCTACAGACCTCTGAAGGACTCAAGACCTGGCTGGACACAGAACATGGAGATCCTTATGTGAAACAAGCCACACACAAGTAATACACAGGTGATTAACATCCTGAACTCTCAGAAGGGTTACAAAACAAGCCACATGCAAGCCACCAAACCTGCTCGTTTCCCACCTGAGTGACAAAGCATTCGGCACAGCAACAACATCGTGCCCTAGAGCAAAGCCAATCGCAAAGCCCATCCATGAAAATATTAAAGACATTCGGTGCTTTTTCTCAATTCCAGTTGTGCAGTGTTATAATAACGATTACATTTCACACCCAAGACAGAACTGAATCAGACCTGTTTGATTCCACTGGAAGAGCTGATGGAAGCTTTAACACTTTGAGGAGAGTTCAAGACGATTTTACGGAAGTGTGCCTTGGGGAAATTGAAATGTCAAGCATAATTTGGCACTTGAAACATGAAGGAGAGAGGCTTTTCATTTGTTTTCATCTGCATATTCCCCTCCTCTGAACTGTACATGCTCCATTTCCCGCTCTTTCTGTAGCTTTCATTAGGCAATGCTGAAATCTGCTGGATTTGAGGAATCTCCAAGGATAAACAAGTATCTGGCATTAACCTGCTCTGTAAAAGTCAATTTGACATGTCTCACTATTCTTCCCTTCTTGTTAGGCAAACTAGTCCAAAACAAGCTTCTGCCCTGATCTCTCTCTTTTCCCATACATTCATCTGATTCTTCATGTAAGACTAGAGGATTACCACTCACTACTCTAATTCTAAATAGCTGTGGGTTCACTTGGAAAAAAAAAATAGGCTTTTGATCTAGGTTTCAATCTCAGCCCTGGTCTCTGGGGCCAGAGGGACTCAATCCTGCAGAAGTGCTGCTCCAGCTGGGTCTCAGCGGACGTCTGCCTCCTGCCAAAGTGCTTAAATCCACAAACAGGTCCCCCAGCAGGACAGCACAGGGCAGGCAGAAAGACCAGGAAATTCACGTGTTTGCCCTCCTACTAAAATAGAAGCGCTCTCATAGCTGTCAGCATGAGAAGTAACAAAACCAGTTGGCAAGCAGGCCTCTGCTAGGTGCAGATCCTGGGAATGCTGATAATGTGTTCTTGGGAGATAAATTTTTAATTCTCCCCATCATCTAAGCAATTTCTGGTGAGACAGAGCACAGATCCCCACTGTACTCTGAATTCTTCCCACAGGGATTTTCCATGAGGCAATGCCTATTTGATATATGTGGAATTTCTTGTGGCAGCTGAGCAGTTTTGACTAAGATTCACTTGAAAAAAAGTCAAAAGAACTTTCAATAACATAAAAACATGTTGATTTCTGATGCCATAGTGACTTCTCATTGCCTGGTCATTTTAAACTAAAAGAAGAAATGCAGAGTCACACAAATATGAAACATTTCAACATTGTAAAGGATTTCAATCCACCTGAACCATGGTTTTAGTTTACAAGGTTTTGGACTATCATTTTTCAGGAAATTGTTTAAAATATTCCAACATCTTATCATGAGGACAAAAGGGGCTTTTCAGAATTGTATACAAACTAAAAAAGAATTTAAAAAAATACAATTGCTAAAAGCTTCGAAAGTAACCTAAAGTAACCAATACCATATCCATCTTTGACAAGGAACTGGAAAGTACAGCACATTTAGTGTGAAACTCTGGCCGAGTTTCGCCTAGAAACAGAGGCAGTAAAATCAGCAAAATTTTCCTTTCTGCTCAACGGGGTAATTTTAAGCAGTGTCACACAAACGTCCCCTTGAAAAGTCCCTTGAGAGGCCCTTCTCCTCTGTGGGTGCTTTCTCAATCAAATGCTTGGTGGCTTTGTGTGGCCCAGCTACCAGAGTGAATTGTTTCCCTGTTGCTGGATGCGGAGGCCTTACACTGCTGCCTAATTTCTATCACAGAAAGTGGACTGGATTTGAACCAAAATCCACTGATTTTGCACCACTGCTTCACACTAGCCCTGCCACCAGAATGAACACACAGCAAACGAAACTGTGCTACTGTGGTCCTCTCCTGGCTGGGGACGAGACAGGGCCGTCCCGCTGCCATCCTGCAGGCCCCTGCCAGGCCAGGGTTGCTCAGGGTGGTGTGTGCCAGGCTGAAACCCCAAACCCGGACTTCACACCTCGTCCTGCCACAGCCTGCCTCAGGCAGCCCACTTCAGAAGCAGCTCAGAGAAACCCTGAGCATTGCTCAAGTCCTGCCGAGGCTGATGTTTCTGGAAATCAGCAGCATGCGGAGCCAGCGGCAATGACTTAGCACGGACCCCTGGCGGGTTTGAGAAATGCCTGTGAGAAGCCATCTGTGGGACAGAGAGACATGGAAGGATTTGAGGCCCCTGCACTGCTTCACCTGACACCAGCTGCCCTGCCGTGGTTTCCTGCCTGGTGGGGAAAAGTGTTTCTCTCGGCGAGGCAGCAGGTTGTTTTACACAAGAAAAAAGTCTTTGGGGTATCGTTGGCAGGCACAGCCCTGGATGCAGCACTTCATGGCTGTCTTGTGAAAGGTAGAAAATATAACCCACTTCACTGGTTAAGGACTGTATTCCTCCTCGTGGGTGGATAAGATATCTCTCAAGTGAATGGCTCTCGTATTTATTATGTCAGATTATACCACTTGAGTTACTGGTTCTGATTATAACAAAACTGGAAAAACAACCACTTACTAGATATTAATTTTATCTTACAGATTCTATTGTAAATGTGATACAGGCTGCTATGTATACTACAATCCTTAAAATAGCTCCATCTAAATGCAAATGTGGACCTCTGTCTAACACAGAGCTGAAAGCCTTCCCATTAACACACCAAGAGATAGGGGAATTAATTTAATGCTTAAAAATTCTCAGGGATAAGAGGAGTTTCTTCTGTTCGTATCTAGCATCACTTTCTCTTCATGACCAAAGCACCCATAGTACAATAATTTTTACCTTTTTTAAGCTTACCGAGGGATAAGGAAGTGCAATCTCTCTCTGGAAATGACTCGCTCAACTCTGCAGACCAAAGTGCAGGTATGTTTACGCTTGGTAAGGGATGCCCAGGGAAAGATGAAAGATGAAGATGGCTACAGTGCAGGAAGGCTGTTGGGATTCAATTACTCATCTTTGCAAACTAATCAAAAGCAGAGATAGTGTTTGACAGCATTCATCTCTCACCAACATTTTCAATACCTGCTCTTCTAAGCACATCAAACACCAAGCGTCTCACACTATCTACCGTACATGCGTACACAGAGTGTGAGATACCAATTTCTTGTTGGAGGACTTTGGTGATCACTCAGGGGCACATGGAAGTCACTGCCTCTAAGACAGTTACTATACACACTGCATATATAGGTATACCTGGCCTGGAAAGCAAAACACAGCTCTGCCTCAGAAAAAGCCCCAGCATAAGCACAACGGCCTTGGAGCCAAGGGCTTGGGGTGCTCAGCAACCTCCCTTGCAGCTTCCAGGTTGAGGGGATGGCAGGAAAGAGGGGAAGGATGTCGGTCTGGCTGTTCTGTGAAATGTAAATGTGCCATGGGGAACTATTCTCTGCAAACACATCTCTGTTTTGATTCCCAGGTGCCAGGCAGCAGCAGGCAGAAAGCTGACACACAGGCAACTTCACAGCCTTCTGCTCCATTCTGGGAATTAAGCTCTTAAAAGTAGCTATAATCACTTCTACCAAAAAGCACATAATGAAGTTGCATAAATACTGAAGAAAAGAGCACATTTGCCATGCACAAACTAGGTTTGTTAATCTTGGTGTCTTTTCACCAGAATCCACAGAATCTGAAGTTGCTCTGCAATATTTTCAGAAAAAAAACAGGAGAATCACGGACTTACTTGAACATGCGTCTCGTCAGGAAGAAGCATCCACCTCATAACCATACCAGGAATATCTGGAACAGACATCTTTGAAGCCATGAGATTAGAAACCACCACATCCACATGTAGAAACGTGATCATGCAAAATCTGGACAAGCAAAAAAAAATACTCAAATCATTTCCCACAGACTTACACTCTGAAATATGTTCCTGTTCTCTGAATCATTTCAGAAACACGAACGTATTAATGACAGTTTGGTTGTGTTGACGGGATTGATAAGTTATTTTTGTAGTGACAAAGCAGCAGTACTTCTGGATTTGGCCTCACATAGCACAGGTGGACCCAACCCCCAAAAAACCTCCAGCAGGGGACTTAGGACAAGGAGCTTCTGCTCTCTAAGGCACGTTTTACACCATACAGCACTTCCCATTCATTTCTTGTGGTGGGGTTCTTATTTTCTGTCAGCAGCAACATATCTGGCTGCGCTGAACACAACTGGCTACTGAATCACTCCAGCGGTTACCGCTTTTGCAGCTAGGAGCTCTGCAAGGTGCCAAAGCTAGCTCATCTCATAAATATGTACATACTTTCAGAGTAAGGAAAAAATTTCTTAAGCTGTTTTCTCTCTGGATCTTGTCCTGCCAGTGCTGAGTATTTTCTGTGCAAGAACTCAGTGGCTGGATCTTTGGTGATTAATTGTTTTTTTGCAAGATGATGCCCTAAATGGCATAAGAAAGAGATAACTTTTCACAGCAAATGGATGTGCCTCAGTTCAGAGAACATTAGGGGTACAGAGTCAATGTTACACACATCGAATTTCATTTGGCAAACTTAATGCTTCTGGCCTGACCTTTGATCATCAGCAACATATAATAGTAATTAAAAGACTTCTGAAATTTGGAAAAATGAAAGACTCATTGCAGATGTAAACTGATGAAGAGACCACCACAGGCCAGAAAGGTGGTGTAAAGCTCTACATGAGTCATTGCCATAAAAATATAATTTTCCCAAGCAGCTTTTGCTATTTCATGAACTACAACACTTTCCAATCTATTCCTGTAATCTATAAAAGCTTTATGAAATATTGACATTACTGCTGTTACTGATGTTCCCATAGTAATTATCCTCCATTATAATTAAACAATATGGCACAAAATCTGGTGAGGTTTGTTCCTGATAACTGACCTTTTAGACGAGATTTACTTTCCACTCTTACAGAAACAAACCTCTCCTTCTATGCTTTAAGAATTGCTGTTCTTCAAAATGTTACCAGGGACATTGTGTGAAAGCAGGATTCTAGTTTCTCTGGAGATTAGAGTTCTTTTTTCTTCCAACTATTTAGTTCAAATTACATCAAATTATGAACTGAAATTGAAAATAGCACTCCATTTTATACTCACTGAAGGTCTGATTTTCTAAATGGAAACCTATCGTGGAAATCCTTACTAACCCCTACATTACAAATACTTGCTTTGCAACACACAGGCACACAGCTTCTCCATGTTTTCCTCAGCTTTGGGCCTCACAGATTCCAGGTCTGGCTCTACTGCAGAACCAAAAAAAATATAAAGCTTTTCAAACAATCGTTACAAAGCACTCCAGCTTTACTAACAAGACCTCTTATTTATACCCAAGATCTAAGCTTGAAGGGAATCTTGAAACATTAGAAGTGGTTGGTGAGAGCTTGAGACGTTTTCATTGAGATCAGGGAGATAAAAAGAAGATACAGGAAAACCACAGGATGAAAGCTAAAGGAGAAAAGTAATCCCAAAATAGCTCTGCTTGGAGTGTTCTTCTGGAAGGGCTATTATACTGTTCAGTATGGCAAAACATCAAAGAGGAAATATTTCAGCCAAATCACTTGCGAGCTGAATTTCTCATCTTCTTCCAGATCATCAAAACTTGCTGGTTTTCTTAACGTGGCCCCTTGGTCAAATACGGAAGGGTAAAGCTCAAAAGGAGAGGGGCTTTCCTGTGTGTCCAACCTAGGAAATATGGGGACAGAGCCAGAACTGCTACTGATGCAGCTGAACTTCCCCAGAAATACTGCTGTTCCTCCAGTAACTATTTCTATTTTCTATAGCATTTTGAACACTGCCATTTAACTGTGCAGGAGGGCTTCTCTGTTCTTCCCATTTGCCCATACATACGGGTCCCAGACCAGAAGTGACTCTGTGCAATAAACTACCCCCAGTCCCATGCCAAGCCTCACTGGCACCTGCAGAACTGTCGTTTCGTACTATGAACCTCTGATGGCCTCATGCCCAGAGCAGACACTGGCCAAACTGTCATAAATAGGATTTCCCTTTATTGCTAAAGATCAGTGGTTTTTCTTAATAATAGTAATTTAAAAATAAATAAATAAATAAAGTAGATCTACCTGTGGCTTTGAGCATGTGATATTATGGGTCAAACTAAGAATGCAATTTCAGATTATAGCTCAGGACGTTTTCAGAACTGGAATTAAACAGCTTTTCACCAGTGCAAATCCTACCTCTTTGCATGTCTGTTTCCTCCTTGTGTTCCCCACCGCCTTTCTCCCTTGCATCCCCCTGCGCTCACAGAGCAAGTCCTTGAGATTAACCACAATATGATTACATTTTAATTGAGGCCAGCTTAGTGTGGGGACATCCTTTTAACTCAGGAGGCCTCAATTCCACAGAACCATAATGAACTAATAATGAATGTGCTAAAGTCATTAAATCAAAATTCATAAAAGGGTGAATATTGCTTTCTTTTATAATAAAGCAATTAAAATCCCATATACTATAATAGATACTACTAAGGTGCACTAAGTGTTCTTTAAAGAGGTTAGTGTATAATGCCACCCCACAAGAATTTGGGGATCTTTTCAAAATAGGACTGCTGCACTATTAATAGATGATCAGAACTCTTTTCATGTCTTCTTTGGTTCAGCATTATTTCCTTTTTTAAGAAATACTGGCATGATTTCATTAGTAGGTTTTGTATAACTAGTTAATTATAATAAATCATGACTTGCAGTACAAGTAACCAACTTTCAAGTAGTGAAGTATCATATCATTATGTACTTCTTTTCTGTTGAGCTTCTTTCACTGTTCCTTTCATCATGACATCCCCTTCACATCTCTCACATCTTTGTTCCTTGGGGGTTAACAGCCCCAAATTAAGGTAGCAGAGAACACATGCCATGGATACGTCTGACTTCTTATGTCAGTCCTGACTAGGGGAGAAGCCATATAGGAAAAGGCATGTCCTGATTTACAACCACTTGTCTCTTCACATGGTGTTTTCACCACGGGAAATGCAAGTCAAGTGAAGAACCCTGCCTCATTTTCAGCGTGGTCCTCATTGCCACAGGTGTAAGAAAGCCAATTTAAAACAGTCACTGTTGAAGACAGGCCCCTGGGGAAGCTGGACCTCTTGGTACCTGCATGGCAGTGATGCCTGCTGCCCAAAGTTCACCTTCCCACAGGAAGAGCCCCTTCCCTGATGGGCTGTAATCCACCCAGGCAAAGGCAGAGATGAAACAAGCGGCACCAAGTGATTGGGATCAGACAAACCAATCAGTAGCAGAAACAGAAATATCACCAACCGTCTACTTGTGCCTGCGGTGCCAGATCACGTTGTCCCCTGAAGGCCTTTGGCCTCTGTTCAGGAAAAAAAAAATCGTTACTGTGCACCAAATGGCTGGGATCTAAACACAAGACAGTTTATAGCTACTCACAAATTCACACAAGCAACAAATGCTTTTCCTTTTAACGACATAGTCACGAAAACCCAAGACTTTGAAGAGTGCTCAGGAAGGGAGACCGACAGAAAGCATGTCCCAGGGCAGGCGGGCACGTGTGTCTATATGAAAGAGAAGAACAGATTGGCAGAAAAAGAATTATTAAATAGTACATGGTGGAGCAGGGGATTATCTGGAGAACATGATATAAGAACAGACAGATTAAAGGAACACTAAATATTTATTACAAAGTCCTTCATATCATATGCAATAATACATGCCATAGCTGTTACTGAATAACACAGGCAACAGCCAGTTGTTGAGATTGCTCTCTGAGTTGGATAAAATAGAATTAGAGGCTTTTATCCACTGGAGACTGTGCACTGTTATACATAATAATCAAAATCACTCAGAAAAGACAGAAATAGTTCAGTGAACATCCTAACTACACAAGACAAAACCTCACATCCAGGTTACTACAGAGGAATGAAAACACACTGGACAGACACAGCCTCATTTCTTCCTGAACTTCAGTGGTGCTGGAAGGGACAAGACCACAGGATGGAAGGAATTCAGCCCATGAGAGAGCAAAACTGTGGGCTCCTGGGGAGTGTGTGGGCTCTGCAACGGGCCGTGAGCCAATTTGTTGTATGCTGACTGTGGGGTAAGGTGCAGCGTGCCCTAGGTACAGCAGAAATTCTTCAGCTGGTTCTGTATTTCTGTACATGGGTTGCTACATGAGCACATTAACACAGTTGAGACAGCCTGACCCTGGAGTTAGCAAGGAACAAAACATGTTATTGCAACCAACAGCTTGCCTCGTAAGCCTGCTTTTCCCATTCCATGCACACAAGGTCCTTTTAGCAGGCAGAATGGATGCACTCCTGGATCCCCTGCATGCGTTAAAGTGAATTTACTTAAATGGAAAATCTCCCTGCTGTGGCAAACTAGCCGTTGACATTGACTCATGTCTAATATGGTATACAGAGGAAAGAAAACAGGATTGTCAAAACAACTAACCTGTCATAGTGCAGTTGCTTTGAATTTTCTTTGTCAGAGCTGGGCCCCTCACACCGGTTTTGTGGCGTGGTCAGCATTCATCTCAACCAAAGAGGTCCTTCTCACTTGTGGGGAAGGGGAGGAAAAGGCTTGGAAAGAAAACTGTTGGGGACTGGGACTTTATCACCAGGTACAGTGACTTTGTCAGAACTACTGTGAACATAAGCCATAATATTTAAAATTAAAGTTCTGTACTGGCTCAGTTCCACAGACAGAATCTGGTTTATTGGCATTTAGCACAGTAAACCTTCCCCTCTCAGAGCACTATTCCCCTATTTCTTTTGGAGGTTTTGCACTGGTGGATCCCACTGGCACTGGCAGAAATTACCCAGAGCAATCTACCATGAACTGCGGAGAGCGTGGATCCCTACGAGTATTGTATTTCTTCCTTTCTCATACATACTGAGGAGAGCATAGCCGACTCACCGCAGGAAACCCAGGTGCTGAATTCATCTAACAAGCTGCTTAAAACTCTAAACAGATGTTTCTGTGTCTTTCCTGCTTCTTGAGCAGTCTGTGTGGAAACACCAGCAGATTTACAAAAGAACAGATGCATGAACCATACATGCTTTAGTACCAAGGCCTGACTCACTGGAAAATGGTTTATGACTATGCATATAATTTGAGCGATGTGCTGTAGGGAAAAAAGATCAACCTTGTCCATAATGGAAAAGTAGATTGACCTGGCCAGAGCCATTGTGGAAGGTAGCAAAATTCATACTGAAACTGAAAATTATACCTGTCTTGATATGTTCCAGCTCCTGCAATGACTCATGAAAATGTAGATTGGGTATTTAGGCTGGACCTCATCCAGGGCCTGGAGAGATGTACAAAATAACTAATTGACTTCAATGGCTATTTTATCAGGGTCCTTTCTTTCCAAGATTATGGAAGGATCACAAATAGACCAGCAAACACACTGAGAGCTATTAGAGCCCAGAAAAACTAATTCGTACTTACACTGTCTTCTTTATACTCTGAGAGCACTGGAAATGGGCCTTGGTGCTGACGGCAACATCACCAGCCCCACAGCCCCCATGGTCCTGTGGTCAGACTGGGCTGAAGAGCAGATGCTGGATTTAAATCATCATTCACAGAATTACGGCATTTCCCTGGTGTTTCTTGACCCTTTTGGATTTATTACTTGAGACTTTTCACACAACGTACTTCTTCTGCAGTAAAAAGAGTTGCACCATTACACCAGGATAGGATACATGTACTGGTGTCCCAGGTGGCCAAGTGGATTGGCCTCAACTTTTCTTGTTGGCTTACTTCTTCACAAAGCTGGACTGTCTGGACTTTTATGATCATTCAAATACTTTAACAATGGTTCTTAAGGTGAGTAGGACACAACCACAGTAAGATAAATCAGACATCAACAAGCTCACAGCTCTAAGGTGGATTTGGAAAATTGTACATTTCAAAATTTTCCCTTCTCACAATCTGTCCACAGATCCTTGGATCTGTCATCCCAATATTGTATAAAAAAATGAACAGCAACAAACAACAACAACAAAAGAAAACAAACAAACAAACAAAAAAACCCTACCTGTTGGATTTCAAAAAACGTGGAGATGGAGGCTGAAGTCCCAAAATCATAAAGCTCCTGAAGGTGTGAAGCACCAGAACGTGTGGTCTTCTAGGTGGTCGTGTCCCAGCTTATTGCCTCAGCTGGAAAAAAATGAAATATAATGTTGACCATAAGCACCAGAGAATTACACAGAGTTTCACAAGCATCACACACACTGACACCCAAGAACCATTTGCTTAATACAAACAAGACAGAGTTATTTTGTCAGGCAATGTGTGGTAATAGCAAGTTATTAATCCTTTCAACCTTAAATTGGATTTTCTAGGTTTCACGGACATTGCTGACAAGAAAGTCACTGAAGTCTGGCACTAAAGACTGTAGGAGAAATCCTGATCTCACAGCAGTACAGGTAAGCTCTCTCTCCGGGGATGTGATTTCACCTCTGCGTGTCAGCCACAGAGACTTCTAGCAATGGTTCATCTCAGAGTTACCATTTCAAAGACTTCCTTAAACTAAATATTCCTGAACATTTATGAAGTTAGGAAGAGCTTCACAGCAAGCAAAGGAGACCTCTGCTTCAATTAAGTGCGTATTTATACCTACTGCAATTCACATGTTGCATTTCCTGACGAAATGTGTTCCATTATTTCTGAAATATTAAACATCAAAAGCAGAGCTATAATGCATGAATTATACAGTGTTGCAAAAGCTATCATAATGTCCAGGTTTTTTGGCATTTCAGCGTATAAATGTTATACCAAGGAGCTTTTATACTAATGGATAATTGCCTGCAGTGCATACTTAACCTTTGTCCACTTCAGTTGACTTGGTAGTGTTACCTACATACATCAAACATCATTTCATCCAAATTGGCAATGAAGGAAAGGCATGTGGCCAAATTCCTTCTCCTTTGCAAAGCTCAACTCCACAGGATTTGAATAGTGATGCAAATGAGAAGCCATGCCACAAACTAACAGGGCTAGATTTTAAGCCCACTCTACATATGCCAGGGGAGGTATCCTGAATTTAGGTTAACGGTTGATCAGATCCCATATAAAGTTGGTTACTGGACCCAAGTGCATTCCAATTAACTGCTAGTAAACAGTCTTGCCTGATGCAACGTGTCTTTATCAAACGTGAAGCTTTGTGAGAAAAAACATTAGAGGCATTTCATAAAGACAGTGCACATCTTCCTCAGTGTATAGAAAAGCCATGCTAACCTCCTCACTATGGGGAAAGAGAAAGATGTCCTTTAACCCTTCAGAGAAAAGAAGGATGGTAGGCAGCTAGGAATAGCCACAGACTCCAAACCAACTCTCATGCCTGTGCTCTGAAAAGAGAGATGCTGATGGTTGGCTTTGGCTTGGCAGCATGTGTGGGAGAGACACGGCCAAGCAGCCAGGGATGCTGCACTGACCACAACTGTAGGGACATTGCAAGTAAGAAGTACTTTAGTCCCTTCTCTGTCAGGAATGTACTCTGCTGATTTTAGGTAGGGTAGTGGTAGTGTTGCCTGCATATTGCCATGCACATTGCCAGATGCACACGAGAAAGAGCCCTGCTGTAATCTGACCCAGAAAGAGCAGCAGATAGCATCAACCAGTTGACATTCCAGCTGAGGACCAGTGCTCATCTGCTTCGCTTTCCTTGCTTACAGCACCATCCTACTCTGCGTTGGCTGACAAACATCCTGTTCTCTCCATTGCTTCTGCAACCATAGCTACCTCATCACCTCGCTAGAACCGCCTGTTTCTGCATCACAGCAAGCACATGCTGCTTGTTTGCACTGTCAGCATTTTGTGCCCATCTCCATACCATTAACCAGTCAGCAAACTCTCACTGCAGCTGTCCCTATGCCATGTCTCACTTCTACCCCAACCATCCTAACATCGTACCTCCAAAGCAGGACCTTCCTTCCCTCTCCTAAGTTTTGATCCTGAAGCATTAGGCCATCCTTCTAGTCCTTGCATATAGCACCTATTATTGAAGGCCCACCCTTGTTCGTGACCATTTCAGCAATGTTTTAGAATTCTGAGAGTGCTGCTATAGAATACAAGTAAGATTTGCAATCCAAAAATCCCAAATCCATTAGAAAGCATTAACAGAAGGACTTGTGTTCTGGCTATGTGTGCCACTTGGCATTTGTCTCATGGTTTCTGTTACAGTTTCTCTCTCCATGAACAACGCCAGTCATGTGTTTATCAGGTACAGGCATGAGCTTCACCACCTCATCCTACCTATTCTCCCATTAAACTGCATATTGTAATAAAAAGACTGGGCTCAATCATGTCCCAGAAGTGCTGAGCAGCTGCTTTCTGCCATCCAGGACTGCTGCTATTTTATACATATCCAAACCTCAGAAGCAATCAGCCATTCAGATCTGTAATACTCATCCCTTCAAAATATCAAGCAATAGAACATAAACAGCAAGGATGCACAAGAATGTAAATGTAAACACTATTCTAATAGCAGGACCTCACTGCTGCTTTGAATTTCCCAGTAATAATCCCAGACCATTCTATTTCAGTCCATGAAAGGATAAGCAGAACAAAGCAAGAGAGAAGAAAATAAAACATCAGACTTCAACAGAGAAACAACCAGGCTGGAGTGCAAGAAGCCAGTTATGGATCAGACCATGCTAACCCCTTCTAAACCCTTTGCTGGGACTGTTCTTTGCCCCCCTTATTCCCTGTCTGACTTTGGGGAAGCCATGCAGTCCATGACTTTCTATAGGCAGTTTGATTTCTATCAAGCACAATTCATCTGTTCACAATTTCATTCCTGGCCTGGAGGCTGCGCCCACTTCCTGCCCTGGACAACAGGCACGATGCCACCTCTGAGCCCCACTGCAGCATCACACAAAGGGCTTCATTAGAGGCTCAAATGCTCAAGAGATCAAATATCACAATAACGGGGCCAAACAATAAACAGGAAGAGTGATTTATCTTAGGGAAAAGAGCAAGTTTATGCTACTCTTAAAATGTGGTCCTGCAGGAAGCTTCTTAAAAGGCTGGCTGACTATCCGTGGGGGAGTTGGGAAGGCAGCTGCACTGCCTGGCTCACTAACATGGAAATAGTCCAAGCACACCCAACCACTCCTCTATACAGCTTGGTGTATGCTAGGGTCAAATTCATCTCGTAGCTCCCGAAGTGTCAGTGAGCTGCCTTGGCTCCCTTTATAGTCAGCAGAGCCTATGGAAGCACCACAGCAGTCCACCCCCCGCTTGCAGCCACTGTCTAAAACACTGAACTGAACCCTGGAGGGTCTTGTTTTCCTCCATCCCTTATAAAGGGACTCTAAGTGGCTCCTTGGAGTAGAGCAGTCATTCCAGACGTCCTCTGGCTGTGCCAGCAGCTTTACACAGGCAGCAAGCCCTGCTCTGCGGCCAGCCTAGCAATCTCCCAAAGTGCCACGCAGCCAGAGAAAACAGGAGCTGAAGGAAAACAAATACATTTGATTACTGTCCAATAACAGTAAACATCGTTCAGAAATCTTTCTGCACACAGAGATTTTCAAGTAATGAGAAGAGACCACAAATAAGTGACAGCCAGAAGAGCCCTCATGCTGTTTCAGTGTGGCAGTAGGCAACCGGCATCTGCAAGAAGGCAAAATGCTCATGCTCTGCCCCTCTCCTCAACAATACCACGGCTTCCGACCAACCCACGGTTAATTTGGGTTGGCTTACCTGGCATTTCAGAAGGTGATGAAGGTGATGGAAAAGCCCAGAACTGGCCCCAGGTCCATGAGGTGCTGTACACCAGGCAGCACGCTTGCCATTACGTCTGGAGATGTGCCTGTTCAAACCGTCCGTGCAGAATCACCTGGGTGTCTTCCCTGGTTTCGTATTCATCGGGGAGATGGTTTTCTTCATTTGAAAGGCTGGGTAACATGCTGCTGTTAAAGTGCACTTGAAATTCAGCAGGGTTCACCTCTTTCTGTGCTATTGCTGGCAGGAGGAGCACGGTGTCCTCCTCAATGAGCTCAGCAGGGCCATGCCCACCAAGCAGGCAGCTCCTCGGGGCTGGGCAGGGGTCTGTGCTCCCAGGAGCCCACTTAGCACCGAGGGGCACGAAGCATGCACTCTGAGCTCCACACAGCGCTGTTTGAGATCTACATTCCCAATGTTATCGTTGCACTCTCATGAAGTGCAATTACCTCCTCATTTTGCAGCTCTTTGTGCCCATTTAATCTCTCCCATTTTGTTTCTGACATCTCCAATAATCCAGCCCTGACACTCCTTATAGATACTGCAATTACAATACAGAGCAGCCCCTGACAGGATGAGTTGTATCTTGCTTCCTTCCTATAACACTCAAGCCATCAGACATGGCTACATGAAATGGCAAAAGAAACCACCACAGACGATTTATATGGGTCCCCAGCAGATAGTGACAGTGCCATATATCTGTCTTAACCAATTAAATGTCTGGAAGCTACCCAGAATAGGGCAGCCGAGGTAGGATTTACATGTGTTTCTGCTTTAAGTAATAACTCAGCTGTGATTTCCCTTTCTTTTCTCCTAGGTCAGAGACTTGGCTATTGCCACCCTCCTGCCTTCCCACCCCATGTCATACACTTTGCCCCTGAGGGAATAATCCTCAGGCTTCTGGCAAGCCCATGACTGTAAGGTGCACAGTGTGAGCCATCAGAAGCAGAACAGTTCCCAAAATAGCCTTGAATTTTTTTTTTTTTCTTTCTTCAGCTATCAACGAAATGGGCCAAGGAATTAGGAACACCTTCTGACTGATCCTGAGGATAATTAACTAACTTGCAGAAAACACCTCCTCACACTAGAAGGCAAAATGAGAGATCCTTTCTGTTCTCTCTGCTGTTCTCTCCCAGCTCCCGGTATATGTCGGGATGTGTCATATTCTTTTTCTTAGCCAAGAAACTACAACCTCCAGTTGCTCCAGAAGAATCCACACCTGACTGCTGGCTGACTGTAAAAATCAAATGGGCCTCATGGTAGCCCTGAAAACTAAAGTATTTTAGGGCCTTGTATCTTCCTTCTACTACTTGCAGCAAAAGCCAACCCCAGCAAGTATATGTACGGATTCAAATATAAAGGGCTCCTGATCTCTGGTGTCAGTTAATCCCCAGCTAAGGTGAGATCACAGAAATAATTGAATCCTGCCAGAGCAGGTTTGATTTGTAAGAGGGCTAAAGGATTTAGGCATTCCACTGCCACTGAGTTTGTTTACACCTTATTTATGTAACGATAATCCCATGCACTGGGATTTCCAGTTACCTGCCGGAATCAGGAGGGATTATTATTCCCTGCTGATGCACATCTTGCCTTTTCAGCTGCCTCCTCATTTTTTTGGGCTTTGCTCCCCAAGTGGGTAGTTTTAAACTCATCCTCCAAGCTGGAGTAAGGAAAGACGCATTCCTACCTGATCTGGAGGATTTGTGGTAAGACAAATCTCAGCCTTCAGCACTATCAGCCCCTGCAGAGCTTCGCACCGGAGCTGCCCTCGACCACGGGACTCACTCAGAACAGAAGAGCCTCTCTAAGAGAAGACATCTCACCCTGCCTCACCTGTATTTGCCCCTCTGCAGAGCACAAACACGTACCAGCCCATCCCCTATGCACTGGGGAGTTGCAGAGAGGAGTCAGAGACCTTCCAGAGGGCTTCAGTGAGGGATTTTCTGCTGCAGCTCAGAAGTGTGGGGTGTGTGGCGGGGAGAAGAGGCAGAGCCCGACATCTGTTTTCAGCCAAGAAGTCACAGTCTCTTCAGGTGACCTTGAGCTCGTGCCATCAGCAGCACACTTGTAAAACCCACTCCGCAGCAAGGATAATTAAACCAACCCACCTCACAGGTGTTTGGGGAGGCTGCTTCCAGCATGATTTGTGACCGTCACAGCACAGCATACGTGCGACAAGGGAGTGGGATCCGAGTAAGAGGAGCTCAGCTGAGATTAGCACCTCAGGGCCCCATCCAAGCTAAGGATAAGGGACTGTGCCTTCCCTTAAGAGTATCTAATCCAAGAAGACGGGTTAATAATGAACAGAAAAAAAGAAACCCATTACCCTACCTGCATCTGCTGAAGCCGAGCATAGGGAATGCCAGGTGCTGCCCCTGGGACAGAGCAGGGCTGGGGGGCAGCTCAGGGGAAAGGGGCTGGGGGAGCTGGTGGCACCAGGAGCCCTGGCAGCCAAGGGGACAAACCACACATTGGGGCACATGAAGCACAGCGCAGACAGCCCCAGAGGGGATTCTCCTGCTGCATTTTGTGCTGCTGCAGCCTCGCCTTGAGCATGGTGTGCAGTTCTGGGCTCCCCAATATAAAAAGGTCCCTGAGGTGCTTGAGCACGTCCAGAGGAGGACAGCAAAGCTGGTGAAGGGGCTGGTGGGCACGTCCTGAGAGGAGAGGCTGAGGACACCTGGGCTGCCCAGCCTGGCGGAGAGGAGGCCGAGGGGCGGCCACGCTGCTCCCCGCAGCTCCCTGGGGAGGGGAAGCACAGAGGCAAAGCTCCTGTCCTGTGTTCCTTAAAACTAGGCTAAGTATTAGTCTCGAGGAGCTAATGAGTAGGCACTTGTAGCATACCCAGAAGATGCACAGAATGTATAGAGTCAGTTGGTATAAAGGAAACCTTCAGTATAAAACATGCAAGACCATATTCTTCTTCAGAGGGATGCACACCAGATGAATTTGTTGCCAATATTATGACTGGGCTAGCTACACCAGCGTGAAGTTTGCTTTCTTCTCACCCTCATTATAGTCCAACAAACTAATCCCTTTATTGATGATATAATGTGCATCCCTGTGCTAACAAATTATTTGCTGTGTGCAATTGATTTCTACTGCTGTAATCGCTACACACAAATATCTTCTGTATCATTGCTCTGCAGAAAAATATGCTTTCCAGCAAGATTATATAGAGTAACAGACAGTGTGATTATTCAGCTTCTATAAAGTTATCTATCTACTTAACCTCTGCACAGCCTTTACAGCAGGTTTATACAGATATGCTTCAGAAATTTATCCACCTACACTTTGTAAAACACCTTGTTAAACCATCTTCCATCTCAGTGTGAGGATGAACTTCCAACTCCTTCACAGAGAGGGCTGTGTCTAAGACTAATTGCTTAATTTAGGAGAGCAAGCCAGCTTCCCTTTTTACCAATATTACTCTTCAAAGTGAATTTCACACAGGTAAAAGTCTTAAATCAGCAGCTCTGCGGACTGGACTCCTTACCTAAATAGAAGCCTGGCAAAAGGAGCAGCGCAGCTTTCCTCTGTGATTGAAATCTGAGCGCAGCTGAAGTTCGTTTGCACCCTAACACCACCTCAGATCTCAGATTTTACACTGGGACTATGGAGAAGGTGTACAAGTTAATAAATGACTGCATCAGCAGGCTGTTCTTGTCCACTAGGAAGCAACCAGAGTTCCCAAGTGCACTCCACGACTTCCAGTGCTTTTATCCCGCTGCTCCAAATGAATGGGTACCCTCAGCCTGCTGGCTGGGGTCAACATTTGGTCCATGGGGAGAATTAAAGGAAATAAGGGAAATAAGCAGAAATAATCAGCCCCTGGGTTTGAAGTGATGACATGAACGTTGCATCCCTTGCACTTTGTCCAAGCTCACCCGCTTTGCTCGCTCCACAATGACTCAATGTAAGTAAAGGTTTGCCGTTAGGCAGCACTTCCCTCCAGCTCTCAGGCACAGGGGTGGGTGATATCAGCCTTCTGATCACGCTGAGCCTGGCTCTCAGGCCTGCTCATAGCAATTTCACTGCAGCCACAAAGCAAAAAGGCAGCTGTTGCTGTGTGACATTTCTATAGATCTCCAAGGATCAGCACCTCGGCTGGCAGCATCAGCACAGACAGGATGGTTTACTACGGCTGAGGATCCAGCCCCTGTTGTTTATCCTGTTCTATAAAACTGTCTTGTAAAGGTCGTTATTTGTCCTGCTTGCATTTGTCGCGAGGCCATTTTGCTCCACTGTTTTCAGATGTCACTGATAAGCACTCGTGCCTGAAATGTTTCAGATTCACAGCCCCTAGATACTCCCAGGTACAACAGTTACACACCAATCAACAGCAAATGCCTTTCAATCACAAGAAGAGAAGCGTTTCTGCTGCATTATGCACAATTACGTGCTCAACTGTTATGAATAACTCTGAAGCTCCTGCTCTGAGACTATTGCAACCATATGTGACACTTGCTCAGCCACTTTCCGCTCTTCTCTCAGAAAAGGCTGTGCAGGAGAAACTGCTTCACCCTTTGCCATTGCAAAAGGAGCCATTATTTAAAGCAGCTACAGCCAGAAGGATGCTTTTGTCCCTGTATAAGAGGTAAGCCAGCAATTCACCTCTGAAGCAGCACACAGAACCTGAACCAGGATCACAGTGATGCAACTGGTCCAGAGTCAGCCAGCAAGGCAAAACCAGCAGAAAATCTACGCACATGCAAGTTTTTAGGTGAATTTGGCTCAATGCGAGTGCACCAAGCATGGGGAGGGATGGCAATGGGCATGGCACTGGCACGTGGTGACAGCCCTCACAGGGAGCCACAAGTTGGAGGAAAGGTTGGGTCTGGGAGGCTCCTCGCACCTCCTGCTGCAGCTGCGGTGTCACCAGGAGCGCAGCTGCATGGGAGGGATGGAGCAAAGCCTCGAGCACAGCCTCGAGCCCATCCCAGCTCAGTGCAGGCGCTTCACCATGCACTCACCTCTTACCCACTGCAAAGCCCGGAGGACTATTACTCGTGAGCTGCACACACACATCCTTCCTGATCAGCCCTCTCAACAGGAATAAGAGCAATCTGCACCAGGAGAGAAAAATGGATCGTTCCCCCCCTTCCACCCTCCCCCTTTCTTTACACATGCGGATGATGAGTTGTGTGAGCAATGTATTTTTTGCTTCTAATTTTAACATGTTCAGTGATGCATTTAGGACAGTGGTATGTACCTGGTAAGCAGTACACACATGCTCACATACTCCGCTTGTCTGACAACAGAAGACATCAATAATTGCTGAGCCTGTGAGTAGGAAGTGTCTCTTGAAAGGAACTAAGAGACCTTGTGAGCACTAAGGAAAATAAAACACAACTTGGAGAGACAGTAACCTGACAGCTTCACCATCCAAAAATGTCTTGCAGACTCCTAATTGCACAGATTGCTTCTGATTACATCAGGTAGCACCAGGAAGTAGGTTACTCTGCAGCAGAGAGAGGTGAATTCAAACTGTCTATCTTTGATCAAGACTCTGGTTCACCAAGACTCATTTCTGATAGAAAAATCAGAAAAATTTGCATCATTACATGGCAGCACCATCATCAACGTGACTGTTTCATCCATATTTATCCCTGCTTCAGGTCCTGCTGCTACTTCTGTGCACTAGGAACACACATCTGACTCCCAAGGTTGTGGAAACAGACACATTTCAGAGATCTGGTTCTGCTAAGGCAAGAGAAACTTTTCATCTTTGTATGTTTGCCTTTATCCAATATAATCTACCAAGCAATGGCTTATTTTTAACGAGACTACATATGCCCTCCCAGCACAGAGGTTTCAGAGACTGGAGAGCTAGTGTACAAAGTTAGTGAAAATATACTGGTAAAAGCATGTGGAGCTGTGGGGTTGTCATTCCTCTTCCTGTGCAACGAGGGAAGAAAACAAGAACATGAAGCAACAAAAACATTGTATACTAAGTCCTGAGAGAGGATCTGGCCTTCATACACCTTCAGGTTTAAAATTTAGTAAGGCTGGGATATAGTTAGAAAGGTAGGTGCTTACCTGGGATAAACACAGACCCAGCCAGCTCCCCTCCCTGGCAGCAGCATGGCCAAACACAAGGGTGTGCTGGGGGAAGCGTGCAGGTTTATGGCATGGGCACACCTCCTTTTCACTTGTTCTGGCAAAGACAATTATTTACCACAGAAATATTCCTCTTAGTAAGTATTCCTGGAAAGAAATCACAAAGAAATACAGGTAAGGCATCTGTCTTTCCTTTTACAGCCAGCAAACCTATATCCAGGATAGAAAACACTGCCGTGAACTCACGGCTGAAGAGCACCTCGACCTGCATCAGGGCTATGAGAGGTGTACGGGTGTACAGACTTTCAGGGCCACACATTTCTCCCCAGCACCCCTGTGCAGCACTGGGGAAGGCATTTGTAGACACCGAGCTGACATACCTTGTATAATTCACACTTCAGATAAGTCTGTCCAAATAGAAGTTCAGCTATGTTGTCAGCTCTTTCGTTTTAAATCCACATTAGCCTTACACACACAAATCATCAAAAGCAACCTCACACAACGCCTCCCCAGCACACATGGACATGGATTTTTTTCCCATGCTAAAGGCAAGGTAGGACATACCCAACTGAACAACCCCAAAGAGAGAGAAACTGAACAGCTGCCAACATCCCAAAGAGGCCAGAAAGATTCAGTTAACACCAGCCTGAAACTCAATGATGCTGCATCAAGATCCTCTCGGTGCTCAGACTGGAACAGGACCAGTTTTTCTGGATGTGCTGCTGGAAAGCAGCTTACGAACAGCAGCACATCCAAAGTCACAGGGACAGAGAAAACACCACACATGTGCACGTAGGGGAAGGGGGGCTGCTTGGGCTACGGGAGGAAATTAAAACTGGGGAATATGAAATTATATCCAGTGTCCTGCACCAACTCCAGGGTTGCTGAGTTAAAGGCAATGAATAAATAAGAGAAATTCAAAACCAAGCAAATCTCTGGGATGAGACAAAATTCATTCCAGGGTGTTAGAGCAGATTTGAGGAAGGAAACGTGTGTGCCAACAGCAATTACTATGGAGAACTCGCTGAGCACAAGTCTAGAAGACTGGAAAATTGGAAAATAACAAACCAAATGTGGTATCAATATGCAAAAAATGAGAGCAAGCCCGGCACAGGAAATTACAGGGCTATCAGCTTAATATTCATTACATATAGGAAAACGCAAGGTCCCCATTGTATACAAGAGTGTAATTAAATCAAGGGGTTCTGCTGAAATCAACTGCTTGTGATGTTTATGAATTAGCAGCAGATTCAAAATGCAGCCGCAACCTTAGCATTCAGCCTGGGGCCTGGTGTTATTTGTTACAATCTAGGAACCAGCCCTGGTGAGAAGCTTTCTCCTAGATAGTGTAAATTTAAAATCTCTTGCCCAGTGTTTGTTGTTGTTGTTGTTATTTTTTTATTTATTTTTTTGCTTTACATGTGACTCAGTGCTGATGAGGATTAGCACAAATAGGCCATCCGAGGACAGCGTCTGGGGGAAAATGTTATGGGCTGACTTACTGATTAGTGCTTGTTTGCCGTTTAGGGCAGCAGCAGCGAAGCATCTCTCGTATTCCTCCTGCTTCTGCTCCCCCCGTGTCTCCACAGCAGGAACATCTGCAGTTACCCACGTATTTCCTCTCGGTGCTGGGAAGCTGTGCCAGACTTTCATTACCTTTCAAAGGGTTGTCACTGGTGCCTACAGAAACACCCTCTTCCACTTCTACTGCACTCCGACCACATGGCTTGTAAAATCCTATTGTTTTTTATCTTCAAAGACACTCCTAAGTCCTTTGGGCACGGATACCACACAGGCCTCCGTGGGCCCCCAGAGATGCCACATGGTTTTCTCCTCCATTAGGATCTTGCTCCATGTCAGGAAAGAGCAGCTGAGGGATGTAAATGAGAATAAAAGTGATCTGCAAGCATAAAAGAAGGGGAAGGTTTCCAGCAGGTCACCGCTGTCATCTGGGGAGGAGCAGAGCTGCCGGCAGTCAAAGCTTTGCCACCAGTACAAGAGAAGCAAGGGCAACGCTCACTGTGCTGGGCTGGTCCAACTAATCAGCAAGAGATGGCCAGGCCCTCCCAAGGGCAGAGCCACGAGGATTTAGAGCTAGATCTCCACTCCTAGGCAGGGGGCTTCAGCCTCTGGATCCCAAGTCCCAGGAAGCGGCGAGCGGCTCGGCATCCAGCCAGGCTCAGCGCCTCCCAGCAGGCCAGATGCCTCGAGTGAAATACATTCGTCCTCAGCAAGGAACATGCAGAAACATTAATAAATAATTAAAAAGCTCCTACAGTGGACCTAGCTTTTAGAAATGCATTCCACAGTACTTTATTACCCTTAATAACCTCCAAGACAAATTATGAATGAACACAAAGAGCCTATTTTAAGTGTGCAGTTGCAAATGCCAAGCAGGATTTTCAAACACAGCATGCAGAGCCAGAGGGAAATTACAAGTCTCTTCTCTTTCATCACAAGTTTCTTGCATCAAGAAAATGTATGGATAAATTACACAGAACCTAACTATGTTTTTTGTTTGTTTGTTTGTTTTTTTAAACTCTAAGTGAAATATTTCAGGAAATTCCTCCTTAAATCACTGTATTTACACCACCAACACTGGATAAAAAGCTTGCCACTTACTTATAGTAGGTTAAAATGAAAACCCCACAACAGCCCAAACCTAGAAAGGATTTAAAACGTAAATCCAGATTCCATACCCCATTTAGATGTTTAGCTCCATGCCTCAGTTTTCCTCCCTAAGCCTGACAAAATGGAGAAAAAACGAAATCCTGTAGATGCAACAGTCAACTCCACAGCTGCTGGCTTGGGTGAAAGAAACACAAACTGGTGCCTACCTGGCCTTACAAGATCTCGTCTCTGGATTGTCCATCAGATGTGAGAAGCTGAATAAGAACTCTTCACTGCGTAGTGTGTGCAAATACTACAAATAATTAGCCTCGCAAAGGTCCTGTGGGAGCGGGTACTATTCAGTGTAAGCCTGCACCCTCAGACTTGCATTTTTTCTGCCTATATTTCCAAGCTGTACGTGGAACTGAGGCATTTATTCTGCAGGACTGTTTGAACTCCCCCCTCACTCCAAATGACAGCACGCTGCATGCAGGAGCACGTGAATGACGGACAGCCTGACCACCTCAGGGCTTAGATGGAACTTGCAGAAACCTTGGAAACCGAGCACCTGCACCGAGGGAAGAACCTGCATCAAGCCCCGCAGCAGTTCCTCTTCCCCAGGGTGTCTGGAATGTAATTTTGAGATATTGTTCTTATTCAAAATTTCTGAAGCAAGTAAATATGCTGGCAGCCATACCCGAGCATGTTTTTTTTCACCTCCTTACCTTTGCTGTCTACTCGTACTCTTGCAAAATGCAGAAGCAATTTCTACTTAGCATGAAAAGCCCATGGGAGATTGAGTTGAAAGGATGTAGCAGGGGGTTATTTTCCGCTGGTGGGTTGAAACTCCCTCCCTCACAGAGGTAATGCTCTGCAGTGAGCAGTGTCTGGGAAGACCTGAACATCCAGGTAACCTTACCAAATGCATCTGCCTCACAGACGCGTTGGTCAGAGCCTGCTGTTGCCAAGAGGTACCCGGCCACTCTGCAAGCACTCACAGACTCAGATATTTGCTGGCACCAAAAAGAGCAAAACTTCATCTCAGAGTCTGTTCCTTGGCTGCAAATTTGGTCTGATGAGGTGAGAAACATCACTGATAGGCCTGTGGTACTGACTTATGGGCATTTAAGTAGAGACCTGGTTAAGCCATCCATCAACTCCCCTTCGCCAGGGACGGCTGGTGCTGGGCTCAGCCACTGTTGATCCCACAGCAGGTACACTGGCACGAGGAACATCCCATTGCTCACTGCATTAGCCTCATCTGCTCTTGCTGCACAGGCTCACACCTGTGTGCAAAACCCTTGTAGCACGGCAGGGCCCCAGACCTGTGTTTTTCAAATGCTTTTGTTTGCAGAGCTGAATGCTGCCTTGCTTGGGTGAACAGCCTTTTCCTCTGTGCTGGTTTTGCACTTCTAGATCTGACCTAGATCTAGAAGCACAGGGAAAGGGACCACAGAGAGCAGCAGTAAGGAGAAAGCAAGAGAACTTTTTTTTAAAGCCTTTGAATCCTTCTTCATCTTGACTCGGCCTGTAAAGCGAGTCCCCTGCCATCTCACTCACAGTGGGCACATTCCCAGTTTCACACGTACGTTTTGAACCCCACAGCTGATTTCAGAGACACCTGACAGAAGCATGAAGGCCCCAGATCCACATGTATTTATGAATTCTTCAAAACATGCAGCTAGGTACAAGAACTGGGCAACGAGCGAGTCCAGGAGGGGAAGGGGAGTGCTTTATCAGACATCAGGATCCAGGGGAAAGGTGCAGAGAGCCAGGCCTCATCCCCGTGGTGCTGGCAATGGGGTGGTGTTTGGGGTTTGCTTCTGCCCTACCAGATCAGAAGGGCAAAGCCGGCAGCACAACAGGCTCCAGACAGGAATACAACAGGGGAGCTCGGTGCTCCAGCAACAGCTCAGAGAGGAGCTTGGGATTCAACATGCTTGGGTGGGAGGCACGGACTTGTTTCCTCACCAGAGATCTGAGATTCAAGCTAAATCTTTGTCCTTCTCACCTTCAACAATCTTAATAGGTCAGACACCTCCTACTAATAGGTCAGTCAGTCCTTTGGGGGCTTATGTGGGTTTTGCTGCCACATGTCCCTGGTGCAAGAGGCAGAGCAGTAGCTGGGCCCTGGTTCCCCGGGTGCACAAACTGAACAGGAACGGACAGAAAGACACCGCAGAGTCCTCTGGCCACGGAGCTCAGTGCAGAATAGCCAAGTGAAGAGAGGACTGCTGCTCACGGTCACTTCTCAAGCACCAAAAGGTCCCTGAAGGGCTCTGCCCTGTTCCAGCTCCCCTCTCCCCCCCGAGGCCCCGGGAGCTGCGGTGGCAGCTGGCACGGTGCTGGTGGAGGGCGGTTTAGTTGCAGTTCACCTGACGAGGAGGAAATGAAAAACCCTCAAGGCCACAAATTAAAAATCGTGCTTTGATAGAATGACGATTTATAAATAGAAAGACCTATTTCCTGCAAAAATCCTGTGGACTGAGTATTGGAAACTAATTAGAAGACTGAATCACCAGAAAAATTGCTGTTTT